GGAAAGAAGAAGGAAGGAGCAGCTAAGGGATTCTCATAGACTGGAGCAACTGTGTTTTTTTCTGAACCAAAAAAAAAGAAAAAATCCTAAGGAGATTCTCTGGCCTGGATGGTGTGTGGGGGGTAGATTACCCCTGATCGAGTGGTGAACAAGAGTAAGTCAACGTAGACGAAGACACATGAGCACACAACATAACCGCCGGGAGATGGCAAATATGCGAGCAACAACCTGGAAATGATGATCTCAGAAAGAAATACAATGCAGAAAGCTATGCCTCCTATTATGGCACGTGGCAGAGGTGGAATGAAACGAGTAGGGGATATCCTCGTTTTTTTTTTTTTTTTTTGCTGTTCTCGTTGAAATTTTCAACGGAAGTCCCTTTTTTCTATGATTTCTATTTTAGGAATGTATGTCTTTATTCCATGCTGATTCTTGTTTCTAGTCCACATCTGATCCTCCTCTCATCCTTTCAGAAAATTGCAATTTGAAATGGGAACTTTGTTTTTACATGTTTTTATTTTACCCTGATGTCTAGGTGGGTACCGTGCTGATTGGTCAGTCACTTACACGCCCGAGTTTGCCTACCTAGTCCCGCACCTAGACCCCCACATAATAGCCCCACTTTGGAGACCCCCACCTACACCCCCATCTAGACCCTCACCAAGACCCCCATCTAGAGCCCGGCCTAGACCTTCACCTGCAGCCCCACCTATATCACCATCTAGACCTGCCAACAGGTTAAACAAGTGTGCCCACCTAGTCCTGCTAGACCCCCACCTGAACCCCACCTAGACTCCTACCTATATTCCCACCTAGAACTGTCAGAAGGTTAAACGGGTCAGGTCTACAGGGGTACGTTTCTGCCCACCTAGTCCTGCTAGTCCCATCTAGACCCCCACCTACACCCACCTTGATTCCTACCTATATCCCCAGCTAGACCTCGACCTAGACCTCAACCTTGATCCCTTTCTGAACTCCTACATGACGCCCACCTGCATTCCTACCTACCTTCTTCCCCCGAATACTGTTCGGTCATTACAGCTGTATTTAGACTGAAAGATACCCCAAATACAACTATAATGACTGTATGTTGTATTCGGGGGAAGAAGGTAGGCCCCACCTAGACCCCCATCTAGGCCCCCACCTAAACCCCCATCTACACCCTCACCTAGACCGCCACCTAGACCCCCACCTAGACCCCTTCTAGACCCCCACCTAGTCCCCCACCTAGACTCTCACTTAGACCCTCACCTAGGCCTGCCAACTGGTCAAACAGGTCAGCTCTATGTGGTTACCATTCGTCCAGTCGTCAGGCAGGTGCA